TATTCAATCAAATACAAAAATAATCGTGTATGTTGCTCTTCTTTATTTCATTTTTTTTTTGTATTTTGTGAATATAATTTAGCATGTGCGTATCAGAAGTTTTCTCTTTTTTAAACCACTCATTTTGGACGAAAATATTTACACACACGTTTGTAAATTTAAAATGTAAATATCTATTCTATGGTGGTTGCAGCAGACAAACCTCAATTTTCTCATTGAATATTTTGTGTGCTACTGTGTAAGTTTTAATACCACCTTTTTTAAAGTTTTATATCTTAACAATTAGATATCTGTTGCACATTAATTTTTTAATACATGGGTGCACATTAAAGTTATTGTAGCCCGAATTTTTATTATTTATTTAATATTCTTAAAAATATTATTAATAAAAATTAAATATTCTTAAAAATCTACTTCTTATTTTAATTTGTAATTCAATACTTTTGCTGTATACTTGGTAAAAATCTGACTGTAATATTTAATGTTCCTTCAAACATAAAAGAGTCCTACATAAAATTCTGATAAAGTTGCGGACCGCCATTTGATTTGTGTTTTTAATTGTGGGCCCCGGCTTCATGTAAGTACCCCTCTCATGGAAACCCCTCTGATAGAATATAATAATATTAGTTAAAGAGAGCAAAAATGGACCAAAATATCACCCATTTAGATGCGATAGAATATAATAGTATTAGTTAAATAGAGTAAAAATGGGTCAAAAGCTCACTCATTAAGTTATGAAACAATATTGGAAAATTAAAAAAGGAGTAACGCTCATTGCTTTTTTTTTTCTTCTTCTAATGCCCACCTGGGTTGATATTTCGTCAATTCAAGTTTATTAAGGCAGATTTGTTGGCCACTCTTTCAGGGGCATCCCATTAGGTGGGTCAACGCTGCACCCACTGTAAGGGCAGATGGTACAGAGAATGATAGAACAGCCATACCTTGTCCAGGAATCGAACCCAGTTAACTGACCCCAGGCCGGCTATGTTCATTGTATATTGTGTGATATTGGGGGGACAAATAGTCTGAATATTCGCTCCAATATGGGTTGCTGTTTTGAGAGAACGCCATACTGCGGAAGAAAATTTTTCGTGGCAAATTCTCTTTCTCCTTCATTATTAATTTAAAATTTAAAGTGTAGTAAAAATGAGTTCAGACAAAACTAGAGTAAGCCATGTAGTTTGAAATACTGAAAAGAAAACTTTAAAATATACAAATGATAATAAATTATGAGATGAGAACTAAAGATGACGCAACGGATAAGTTCTCTTCTCATAATATGTTTGCATTTTAATATTTTGAAGTATTTTTTTTCAGCAATTGCAACTTCATGTCTTACTCTAGGCTTGCCTAAACTTACTTTTTCTCTCTTTTAAATTTTAAATGAATGATGATGGGGAAAGAGAATTTCCGAAAAATTTTTTTATCCGCCATATGGTGTCCTCTTAAGCAACCGGAGTATAGAAAATCTGTAGAAATCAAGAATTTTCAGTGATATTATATTTGTTCTTAACATTTCTCTGTCTCCATGAAAGAACAAAATTAATGATGGTCGACTTTCACCACCTGTGAATGCTAACAATCACATATGTCTGCAATATGTGCTAGATCTGATTTGATTATTCATCATCAAATGCTTACTCGAAGTTCTAATATCCGATTAATACAGATAAGAAAAAAAACACATTAGTTTTGAGAATACTGGAGAGGTGTGGGGGTAATAACATGTGTTCTCTATTTATGATTAAATATACTTGCTCGATGTACTCTTGCCCAGTATGATTTTCATTAAAGTTATGTGCCATTGCCCAGTATTCTCTTCCCTGCCATTGCCCAGTATTCTCTTCTTCTTAACTTAAGTGTCATTGCCCTGTATTTTCTCATATACATTTACTCTCCCAGTATATTCTAGTTTCTCCCAATATAATATTTTTTTATTTCCGAGTCTGGCTCGCACCGACCACAGTGCTTACGTAAAATATACTCATCGCAGACGAATCAAGGATTACAGTCCTCTTGCCATCAGACCAGCCATCGGAGGTTTTCGTGGTTTTCCTCTCGATATAAGGCAAGTTACATCAAAAAGTCCTCATCGAAGGCAAATTTCTCCCTATACTTGACCCACGAGTTCCCTTATGAATTGGGTTCAAAATTACAAGGCTACACACTTGAGCATTAGTAGCGGTAAACCCGAAAATTGGGTAGGCTGTTTAACGAAGACAATAAAATATTTTCATTATTGAATATATTAATATTCGTGATAGAATAATTGCGTAAGGCAAACATTCTACCCTACATAGCGGTAAAAATATCACGAATCTGAGACCCTTCTGACCATTATAAAACAATCGTAACTATTGAGCCATCGTGGCTTATGGGTTAGAGCGTTCGCCTTCCAATGAGCTGAACCGGTTTCGAATCCCAGCAATAGCTAGTCGAAACGAATTCCTCACCAGGCTCGCACCAATCACAGTGTAAGCATAAAATATCCTCAGTGGTAGACGGATCATGTGTTAGAGTCCACTTGCAGACGGATTAACTGTTGTAGGTTTTCGTGGTTTTCCTCTTCAAGTAACGCAAATGCGGGTTAGTTCCATCAAAAAGTCCTCTACGAAGGCAATTTTCTCCCAATACTTGATCCAGGTGTTCCCTTGTCTTCTGAACTGGGTTTAAAATTACAATGCTACGGAGTTGAACATTAGTAGTCGTGAACTCAAAAAATTGGGTCGGCTGATCAACGACGGTTATAAAATAAACAAAAGAAAATAGTAATCATTAAAGAAAAGACTAACAAAAAGTGTTTTATGAATTTTCAAAGACAATATAATCATTTTATGAATAACATAACGTTTTATTCCTTCATTGTTAAGATTAAATTTATAAATATTTTTGAATAATTTAATAATTTTTATTTATCGTGAAACAAAATCATTCTATGTTGTAATACTGTCGCACATCTGAGTCAAATTATTTATTTCGGTGAGTCAAACATTTTTTTATCACATTGTGAATAAAAAAATATATATATTTCCTATGCTGTTGTCTACTGAAATGAAAGAATTCATAATTTATCCAACGAAATAAATTTATTTAGCAAAATCCTTCTTAAAAGGGATTTTTTTTTCAAGAGGGAAAAATTCCTTTTAACTCGTAGAACAAGAACCGTTATCTAAAGTAGAACACACAAGGTAAGCAGGTTTGTTTCCACCAAAAGATAGAAATTACTTATTGTTTTTTTTTTCTTCATAATTTGTTTTTTATACGTTGGATATGAAACTTTTCAGTGAAGGCCTAACTAAGGCAGTAGGATGAATAAAATGTATCATAATCTGATTTGAATTACCTATCTATGCTTTGTTTAATCTGAGGTCACCATAAGTTATAATTAACAGCACTTAACAGCATTGGCTGATGAGTCCTTGCTTATTCAAATTAAAACTGAATAATGTTGTAAAATTAGCAACGCTATCAGAAAAATAATGTTTTTAATTAATGTTTGCTTACATTTTTAATACAGCCGAACCCCGCTATAGTGAACTTTCAAGAGATCGAAATTTCGGTTCACTATAACCGGGAGTTCACTACAGTACCGCTCAAAAGTATCAGTACACCTAAAAACTTTTAAAAAAATGGCAAAATTCAAAGTGTCATAACTTCTTTAAAAATGATCAAAAATGCTTCTGCTTTAGCTCATTTTGAAGCTTAAAATCTCTACTTTTATGTACTCTAATTGTTTTTAATTAATATATTTTGCAACTATGTACAATTACACTCTAAACAATCATAGAAAATTGTATAAATTTTTTGTGAAGTTTGACGCGATGTACGGGCACAAAGGGGTTAGATATTGTTAATTTTTATTATACCATTGAAAAATTTGGACTTTTAGCTTTCATTTAAAAAAAAAATTCCAAAAAAACATGTTTTTTTACGAAGTTATTGTCAAATAAAAAAAAAGGTTTTTTTTCAGAATTTAATGATTTTTCAGCAATTATAATGAATTTTAGTGTAATTATAATATGATATGAAAATTTTTTAATTAAAATAAATTAAAATTTAATATTTCTCGATAATATTATTTCATAATTTATTATAACAATTTTAACTTTTTTTTTTGGAAAATATAATAATGAAATAAGAATCAACGTTTACAATTTAATATTTTGAAATTTATTTTTTCGTATTTTTCTCAGAAAAAATTTGAAAACAAAAATGTATGTACATTTTTGTTTTCAAATTTTTTCTGAGAAAAATACGAAAAAATAAATTTCAAAATATTAAATTGTAAACGTTGATTCTTATTTCATTATTATATTTTCCAAAAAAAAAAGTTAAAATTGTTATAATAAATTATGAAATAATATTATCGAGAAATATTAAATTTTAATTTATTTTAATTAAAAAATTTTCATATCATATTATAATTACACTAAAATTCATTATAATTGCTGAAAAATCATTAAATTCTGAAAAAAAAACTTTTTTTTTATTTGACAATAACTTCGTCAAAAAACATGTTTTTTTGGAATTTTTTTTTTAAATGAAAGCTAAAAGTCCAAATTTTTCAATGGTATAATAAAAATTAACAATATCTAACCCCTTTGTGCCCGTACATCGCGTCAAACTTCACAAAAAATTAATACAATTTTCTAAGATTGTTTAGAGTGTAATTGTACATAGTTGCAAAATATATTAATTAAAAACAATTAGAGCACATAAAAGTAGAGATTTTAAGCTTCAAAATGAGCTAAAGCAGAAGCATTTTTGATCATTTTTAAAGAAGTTATGACACTTTGAATTTTGCCATTTTTATATAAGTTTCTAGGTGAAATGATACTTTTGAGCGGTACTGTATATCCCGCTCGGAACTTATTGTTCCGAGATCCTTCTTATTATTATACATTATTTAAATAAATGACCATTAAAATAAAATACGAAAATGACTGAAAAATAATACGTACTGACAAAAAATGTGTTAACTTGCTTCTATTTTTAATTACTCTTCGTCTTGTGTACAAAACAAATTAGTAATCTTCAGCTGATGTGTGCAAGGAAAGATTTGTCCATATCTGCCTGGGTAGGTCTTTGTTTAGGGATGGAAAAGTGAGATAAAAGAAGCAAACAAGAAAAAATGCTTATCACTACATTCCACTCTATAGGTGGTTTTAAAAATTAGTATAAGTATTTTAAAAATTAGTATAAGTATTAGCATAAGTACGCATTTCAAAATCATTTTTTTAAAAAATGAGAAATAAGAAGAAATAAAATCAGTCGAAGACAGAAAAAAGTTCATAACATCCAACTTTCATAATATATTTTTAATGTAATATATTTTTTCATACTATCCAACTTCCTCACTTTCTTAGTTCACTATATCCACAAAAAATAACATTATACGTGTGTAGCAAGGCACGGGACTGAACATTTCGTTCACTATATCGGGGAGTTCGTTCACTATAGCGGGGTTTGACTGCATGACTTTTCTATTCCCAACCCACAGTGGTGGCTTTTCTCATTCCTTTTCGTTTTTTCCCCCTATCTTTTAAAGTCATCACTTTATTTTCAAAATATAAAATTATTATGATTGTAAATCACGGCAGTTTTTTAATATGTTAATTTTGTAACGAAATAAATTATTATTTGCTTTTGAAAGAAAAAAGCTATACTTTAAAAAAAAGAAATTGAACTTGGGAATACAGAAAGTTTGACACAATAAAAAAGTTAATACGCAAAAAGTAAAATAAACATTAAGGGGTCCAAACTTTGGAGCGCTCTCCTGAACAAACTATTGGGACCCTATTGCTCACATTGCGGCTAACCCCTATATTTTGGGGATCAGAAATCCGAATCCGTCGGAAAAAAGGTATGTTCAGAGAAAGTACGTTTTTGTGTCTTATTTTGTTACTCAAAATATCTCTGCACTGATTAATTAGCATATTTGAGCTCACCCCTTCGAGCCATTAAGATTGAGTTCTACAACGTGAAGATACGATCATTAGATCAAAAGGTATTCAGGATGGTCTGTTTTNTTTTTTTTTTTTAAATGTACAGTATATGAGCAAGAATATCTCCATTTTAACGCTATAATTCGAAGTTAAAAAAAAAAGAAAAATAATAATTTTAAAAACTGAAAATATTTTATTTACATTATTATGATATAGTAAAATAAATTGAAAAAAAAAGCATTCCGTTTTAAGAAATATAATTTTAAATTATTGACCATCAACGGGGTTCGAACCCCTGACACTTGAACTTGCAATTTGTAACATCCTATCACAGGGGTGGCCAAGCTCCTTGATAGTCGAGCCATTTTTCAAAATTTGAAATTTTTCGCGAGCCGCAATTAAATACATATTTAAAAGCTAGGCAAAAAGCGTATGAAAATATTTTTTTTTTCGCTGAAATTATATTTATTGAAAACATATAAAAAAATACAAAATATGTGTATTGAATTTAAATATTAAAAATTAAACATATTTATTTCACTTCTCTTGATAATTCTTTAAAATTTGGTGAATAATTAGTGACAACACTTCTCAGTAATTCTTTGAGATGCTGGTTAGTTAATACTGATCGGTGTTTGGATTTCACGAATTTTAAAGTGGAATTCACGTAAGTACGTTGTGATTCACGTAAGTACGTTGCTCCGAATATTGAAATAATTTGAGAAACAGCCTTTTTTAATTCAGGATACTTCGATTCTGGTACAAATTTCCAAAATTCAGTAATCGACGTCGACTTATATTTTAATTATGGAGCTTGATCTTCTTGCATCTCTATTAATTCTAATTCTCCAGATGCTTTTTGGGTTATAATTATATTGGAAACGGAAAACTCACCTTGAATTATGTTAATTTCAAATGGATTCAGAAAAAAATTAAGAGACGATTTAAAATATTTCAAGTCTTGAAATCTAATTTGAAATTCTGTCAATATTCCTTCCGGTTTTTTTGTATAATCGTTCAGTTTTTCTTGTTTAATATTGGAACAATTTTTTTTTAATTCGAGGAAAATGGCAAAATGTTTTATTTTTAATGTCCTTTTGAGAAAGTTGTTATTTAGTTTGAAAACTAAATATACACTGTGAGAGGTCAGAAATTATTTTATCTTTCCCCAGCAGTTGTAAATTCAGTGTTTTCAAATGTTCCATGACATCAGTTAAAAACATTAAGTCTTGTAACCACTCGTCGTCGTCTAATTCTGAATAGGTTATTTCCTTTTCTTTCAGAAATGCAGTTATCGGATCAAACAAATCTACAAAACAATTTAATATGTAGTAGCTAGATAACCATCTAACAATGCAAAAGAAATTCATGTCATTTGGAAGTTCTTCATCCCTTAATTCTTTAAGGAAATTTTTGAATTGTCGATGATTTTTTGCATTGGTGTGAATGTAATTTACAATGTGTAACACTGCTTTCATAACAATAAGATATTTTAAATATTTTGTAACGAGATGTTCTCGGTGAATTATGCAGTGAATCGGTATAAATTGTGCAATTTCATAATCATCTCTCAAAATCCCACTAAGACACATTTTTTTACCCAACATTGCCGGAACTCCATCAGTTGCAATGCTTACAAATTTATTAAGAAGCACATCAAAAGTTTTCATTATGGAATCTAATGCATTTTTAATATCGACACCTCGCTTTGACTCTTGAAGTGCTACTAAATCTAATTATTCTTCTTTAACAACGAAGTCAGGTGAAACAAAACAATAAAAATGTCCCGAATAAAAACCCATTACATGCATGTTTATATATAAAAGCATTGTACAGTAGGGAACCGATTATCCGGAACGATCGGGACCATCGTTATTCCGGATAACTGATTTTTCCGGTTTTCTGAATCGCTGCAAAAAGCCGTTTTTTTATTGTTAAACCCAACTAAAAAAGAAATTTTTTTTGCAAATAATTTTAAAAAGAAGAAAAAACGATGAAGTAATACACTAATGATTATTTCCAAAATGATGGTAAGGTGAACATCTTTCAAAAAAGAAAGAAAAATCCTAAAATCTTATGAGGAAAAAAAAAATTTTTTTAAAAAAATGGCAGGAAAATTTATCGAGTTTCGTTCCGGTTTTTTTGNCTTTCTTTTTCTTTATATTTCTTCTTCTGTCATTATTCAAGTTTAAAATTTACCAGAAATAAAGTACAAGGAATTCAAAGCCGTATGGAATGATAGCTTTTTTTTTAGAATTAACTTTGTTCTATTCATAATGTACTTTTCCACTAAAACAAGAACACTGTATAACGTTTCGTTCTTTCTTTTTCTTTATATTTCTTCTTCTGTCATTATTCAAGTTTAAAATTTACCAAAAATAAAGTACAAGGAATTCAAAGCCGTATGGAATGATTATTTTTATTTTAGAATTAACTTTGTTCTATTCATAATCTACTTTTCCATTAAAACAAGAACACCGTATAACGTTTAGTTCTTTCTTTATATTTCTTCTTCTGTCATTATTCAAGTATAAAATATACCAGAAATAAAGTACAAGGAATTCAAAGCCGTATAGAATAATAATTTTTTTTAGTATTAACTTTGTTCTATTCATAATCTACTTTTCCATTAAAACAAGAACACTGTATAATGTTTCATTCTTTCTTTTTCTTTATATTTCTTCCTCTATTATTATTCAAGTATAAAATATACCAGAAATAAAGTACAAGGAATTCAAAGCCGTATGGAATGATTATTTTTATTTTAGAATTAACTTTGTTCTATTCATAATCTACTTTTCCATTAAAACAAGAACACTGTATAACGTTTCATTCTTTCTTTTTCTTTATATTTCTTCTTCTGTCATTATTCAAGTTTAAAATATACCAGAAATAAAGTACAAGGAATTCAAAGCCGTATAGAATGATTATTTTTTTTTTTTAGAATTAACTTTGTTCTATTCATAATCTACTTTTCCACTAAAACAAGAACACTGTATAATGTTTCATTCTTTCCTTTTCTTTATATTTCTTCCTCTATTATTATTCAAGTTTAAAATTTACCAGAAATAAAGTACAAGGAATTAATTCAACGCCGTATGGAATGATTGCTTTTAGAATTATCTTTGTTCCATTCATAATTCACAATTTTCCAATGAAGAAAGAAAAGTCGGATAAAAAATAAATTTATGAAAAAGGGAGTGATAACAAAAATAAATAAAGATATTTGGACTCTCATAAAGGATACAGAAAAGCAGGACTGGACTTATTCAATTCAAGTTGGAAAAGAAAAACCTCTTTCTGTATTTAAAGAGAAAACATAGTTTCTCAGGTGGCGCTAGATGAAGACAATAGAGGTGATCACTTTCGAAACCGGCAATGGAATGGGACGGTAAGGAACCGGAAGAGCTCTTCCGAAACATCGTTCTAAAGTCTCAGAAACTCGGAGTCACACCAGTTGATCTATCAAAATTAGACTCTTTTCGGAAACTTACCGAGAAAGATCGTTGGTGGAATAAGACTTGGTTTCGTGTTCTAACCATAATCGTTTTGTTTCTATCCATTATCGTTCCTTATGGGAGCTTTCAATCGGTCGTCAGGCTCTTCTGGCTGTCTGGAGATCGTTTGCAAGATGACATGTGCATATTTCGAATGCCATCGGAAATTCAAAACTTATTCATGCCACCTGTGGATTGTTCTACATGCCGAAACATGACTGAAGTAGAAAGAGTGAGTCATATCACCCCGGATGAATTTGAAAAAAGGTTTGTCTTAATTTTCAATGGGCATTCATTCAATTATGTTATCCGAAATTTTCGATTTTCATTTTCGTACATTTTTGAATTTTTGTTCATTAGCTTTCCAAAGCTCCTAAAATTTTTATTCTCTGATCTTTAGAAATGCAGTTACAGTTGTTTAACAGCATGCCAATAGACGTTTTTTGCCAAGTTCATACTCTAAATGCATTTTTTAAATAAACATTGTTTTTGAAAAAAAAATTTCACGTTGCATATTATTAAAAATATTTACAGATTATTTTTTCAAACTTTGCATGCAAATTTAGTATAACCGTAGCTATGTTTAGAACTGTAAGCTAAGGTCTAAATATAGATTTATTATTGTCATGCCCTAGAAAAAGATAATTACCGATGTTGTGCCTATCTAAACGGCTTATGTTGATTGTCAAATCGCAAAAATAATTTAATTAAGGGCAGATGATAATTATTATAATATTAATAATTATTGTATTAATAATTACAATATAATTATTAAATATAATTATTACAATTATTAAATATAATTATTAAAATTAATGCAATATAATATTTTACTGCAAAAATGGATTTTACGGTACCGCTTCGGCAAAGTAACGGTATTTTATGCTGCAATTAGATCCGGAATTTTCTACAGTGTAAAAGGGATAGATAAATTTTTATCTATCCTTTGGAAAATTTTAAATTATTTCAAATTGATTCATATATTGGTTCTATTGTTGAATAGACTATATTTATTAGTATGATACGAAAAATTATTGTATAAGAATTATATTTATGATATTAATAATTATAACTAGTGGACTGCGCTCCCTGCTCGCTAACGCTCGCCAACCCCCGAAAATTGCTACGCAATCTTATATGGTTTGCATCGCTCGCTACTAACTTAGATACATTGCAAATGCACAAAATTCTAAGAATTCAAAACAATCATTCAAATCCATATAACAACTTTTTTTTTTAAAAAAAAATTACATCTTTTTAGTAAATACTAAGTCATTAAAATAAATTTGAATTCAAATAAATGACATGTAATTCGTTAAACATATTAGAAATGTGCTATAGTATAAAATCTTAAGATAAAATTTCTAAAACTAATATCTGTTAAAAAAGGTTAAAATTTTGGCTATAATTAAGTCTATTAAAAACTGAAATAAGTGAATTGCAATGGAAAAATCTGCATAAACAAAACATTGAATTTCGGAAGAAATCTCATTTGGTGAGAATGCTCTCTCTTGTCAAAAAATACAAAATAAATTGACCTCAAATAAAACTCAAAGGACTTCGAATCAAATAATTAAGGAAACTACTATCACGTTTAATATAAAAGGAAGATTTATTAACTAAACAATAAAATTACAGATTCGCAGTTCCAAGAAACAAATCTCACACTCACTCAAAAAAACAATTTATATTCTAATTAGTCACCATAGCAACCACAAAACTCATCTCGTTACCATCTATAAATTGATGTATAATAAATAAATTGTTTAACAAAAAATACGATGCACATAAGCACATAATATTTCACACTCTGGTTATTTCAGTTTTCTTTTTTAAAAACGCTATATGTTGAGCCACCTCATCTAGATTTGGCATGTGACATTTTTAGTGGCAATCATTGGTCGATTTTCTAGCGTTACCATTCGGGGAGTTGTAATGAGGCTTTTTTTTGTCGCCGTGTAAGAGAAATATATATATATATATAGATAATATTAATTATAATAATATTAATTACACTATCATAATAATTAACAAAAAAATTGGTCTCTCCAAAGATCAATTTTAAAGTATACGGAATTTTAAAAGAAGACAAGTTTACTTATTTTAATTGATTACGTTTAATTCAGTATTTTAATTAGATCTAAATAATTTCGTATAATTAACTGCCTTTTAGTAAAATTATTTGTAAAACTTCTATAGTTTCACTTTCAATTTTCTGACAGCAACCATTTGCTTTAATCTAATCCTTTTAACCAACCTATCTGAAGACATCTTCATGAATTATTATTGTGATGTTCAACTATAATTATTTTTTAATTAATTACAATTCTCATTACGATCTTTTAGTATTGACTTTTTATTATTAATAAAGATTCTTTATACAATGAAGCTTCTCTAAAATTTTCTGGCCCCACGTGTTATTATTTTCATTTGTGAATATGACTGGTAATTGCAATTATTATTTTAATGAATGAAAATTCACATTACAATTTGGGGCTATGTTCCTAAAATTAACTATTTAGTATTGTTGTATATTGGATTCATTACCATATTTAAACTTGGGGTGTTAATTAATTTTCAACTTTTAAATGCCCCTGCTTAGAACCATCGCGGCTGTAATCCTCGTCAGTAAGGAAGAATTTAGAAAGATCTATTTGACTAATCATCTGATAAAATAGATAAATAAATAAATAAAAATAACGAAACGACTGTTGCTATCCGAAATAATGCAGAACAGTCAGAACCAGGATAGAAGAGAGATCTTTTTTCTACTTCTTTTCATGAATATTGCCCCTCTTTTCCACTTCACGATCATCTACAAGAATTTTTAAAAGGAGAAAACGCCCCTTTCGTGATTTAAGTTACATTTAGTTGAAGTGTCTAATCCTTTCATCGAAAGGCTTTATAAGATAAAAATAAAACGCTCCAAACTATCCTCAGTGAATAAACAAGAACTTGATGCACAACTTTTTTCCATGTAAAAGAAGAGCTCGCTTTTACGTACGGAGATTTTCGGTCTTAAAACAAATGAATTATTGGGCGTACAGAGCTAAGCTCATAAATTGTAATTTTGAGATCATCAAATCATCAATGCTAAGTTCAATTTTAAAAAAAAAGAGAAAAAATGTATACATATATTGAATCTTTGTTATGTTTGGTTATTCCATGCAATAATAGAATAAAATTTTGTAAGCCTAGCTTTAACATTTATGGAGTTGCAAACATTTTTGAATCGTATTTGGTAACTAATGAAAAAAAATCTAATTTGAATAAATTTAAAAAGTTTCAAGCTATTTCTTAGTAATTTCTGAAAAGTTTGAAAGATAGCTTTGAAGGAAAAGGGGTTTTCCGAAAATATCATTATGTATCATAAGTCGAAATTAAATAGCAAATAATACCTTACTAGAATCGTCCGTACACCAATATGACCTGGTATAAGAAAAGAAAACATACTTTTATGGGAATCGTCCCCCATAAAAGTATGCAGAACGTCATTTTTAATAAAACTTGTTTAATGATACAAAGTAAAAAAACTCTTAACATTCAAAGCTTTCATTAAAAAAGTACAAAAACTGGAAGCTTTTTAAATTTTCAAGATATTCAAGTAAAAATGTTAGTTAGAAAATGCAATTCCAAGCACAAAAAAAATGTAAATTTCTTTTTTTCTCATGAAAAAAATTTAGATGAAATCTATAAAAGAACTATTTAAAACGCTCATATCTAACACAAGTTTTAAGACATTTTGAAATGATAATTTTGCTATTAATTAAAAATTACTGCAATTTTTTTCTTCATTTTATTAATGATTTTTAAAATTATATGAAAAAAGAAATTTTATGAGAGAAAGGAAACTAGTTTTTCAAAAAAATGTCCGTAGCTTCATAAACATTTAAACTAAGAGTTACAAATTTTAAGTAATTATTATACATAATAACTAAATTAACGATGCCAGCTCCTTTTTTAAAATTGTTTTAATATACTCTCTTATTTTTAACCTTCTTTTTCATTGGATAGAATCATTTCTAAACAATCATCCACGGGCAATGTAGAATTTTATTGAAGGACTATTTAAAAGAAGAAAAAAAAACACAATTGGAAATATGCTTAAAGTAATGCAAAAAATTTTGAATAATGGTTAAATATTTGAAAGCCCCTCTAAAAATGTGGTTTATTTGCTCCGTATAACATTCCTGAACCCAATCACTGAATCCTAATTTTTGATGCAAATATCTCAGAAAATTGTAATTCCATTTTGATTTGATATACTGTGAATGACCAGTTGCTGACTTCCGGTGAATGTTGACAATCACAGAGTCACTTTGATAAATGCCAGAAATATATACAAGGTCTAGTTAACCGACGCAGCCCGTCAGGCATTTGCTCGGTACTCTGAACGCTGATGTTTCTCCGAATCTATCTTCAACAGATATTAAAATATCGAATACATATAATAATATCAACGAATAAACTAATATCAAATCGGATATAGCAAATAATTCGGACATTCACCAAAGCGATTGTGTGATTGTTGACATTCACCGGTGAAAGTCGACATTCTCTTGACTTCGGTCATTCACTGTAGTATGTACACAGGTTAAAAAATCTAATCAGATTTCACGGGCTATGGAAAGAACGTACTTAAAATTACGCATACGTACTAATACGAGAGTATCGTAATGAGATCAATACGTTGCCTTACGGAAAAAAAGATGAAATATTTTACTGGTCTTTAGAATCCGGTTGAGACGCATTCATCTAACTCATTTTAGTTGCTTAGCAAATAAATAAAAAATTAAATAATAACATAGAAAATAAGGAAATTATTCAGATAAATAAATAAATAAGCGAAGCGAAAAGAAAAAAAAATTTTTTTTCGAACACCGTCGGAGATTTAAAACCGTGCCCAGCTTAAGAAAAATAAGAAAAAAGCTAAAGGAACATGCTTAAAAGATCCAACTTAGTTTTATGTAACTAAAATCAACTTTTTTAACGTGTTTAAAAATAAAAACATGCCCTTAAAAATAGTAAATATTGTGAACGAAGTGTCATTGTCAGTGAACGAAATTAATGGGGGGGGGAAACATAATATAGATATAGGCGTCTACAAGTTTTTCTAAATACAAAACTACTAATTTCCTTTTTTTATTCTGCTATGTGAATAAAATGTCAGCATCAGTCGGCCCGGAAGTAGAATCAGGAATGGATTGGGTGTGCCTTTTGCACGACTTGAGAAAAAATGAAGACTGGATTTTAAAAAGAACAATCCTGTTTGAGATGCCCTTTTTAAAATACGTGTTCGGGAAGCATGAATTCTATTTGTTAAGATATATCAAGTGTTTGTACGCAGCAGAGTTGAGAAAAAATGCAATCGATTACACGTAATCATGATTGCGACCTATCATAATTTCTATTACAGCTGTAATCGTGATAACAACGATCAATTACTTTTAATTTCGATAACAACTTTAATTGCAGCTGTAATCGTGATAACAATAATCAATTACTTTTAATTGCGATAACAACTTTAATTGCAGCTGTAATCGTGATAACAACAATCAATTACTTTTAATTGCGATAACAACTTTAATTGCAGCTGTAATCGTGATAACAACAATCAATTACTTTTAATTGCGATAACAACTTTAATTGCAGCTGTAATCGTGATAACAACAATCAATTACTTTTAATTGCGATAACAACTTTAATTGCAGCTGTAATCGTGATAACAACAATCAATTACTTTTAATTGCGATAACAACTTTAATTGCAGCTGTAATCGTGATAACAACAATCAATTACTTTTAATTGCGATAACAACTTTAATTGCAGCTGTAATCGTGATAACAACAATCAATTACTTTTAATTGCGATAACAACTTTAATTGCAGCTGTAATCGTGATAACAACAATCAATTACTTTTAATTGCGATAACAACTTTAATTGCAGCTGTAATCGTGATAACAACAATCAATTACTTTTAATTGCGATAACAACTTTAATTGCAGCTGTAATCGTGATAACAACAATCAATTACTTTTAATTGCGATAACAACTTTAATTGCAGCTGTAATCGTGATAACAACAATCAATTACTTTTAATTGCGATAACAACTTTAATTGCAGCTGTAATCGTGATAACAACAATCAATTACTTTTAATTGCGATAACAACTTTAATTGCAGCTGTAATCGTGATAACAACAATCAATTACTTTTAATTGCGATAACAACTTTAATTGCAGCTGTAATCGTGATAACAACAATCAATTACTTTTAATTGCGATAACAACTTTAATTGCAGCTGTAATCGTGATAACAACAATCAATTACTTTTAATTGCGATAACAACTTTAATTGCAGCTGTAATCGTGATAACAACAATCAATTACTTTTAATTGCGATAACAACTTTAATTGCAGCTGTAATCGTGATAACAACAATCAATTACTTTTAATTGCGATAACAACTTTAATTGCAGCTGTAATCGTGATAACAACAATCAATTACTTTTAATTGCGATAACAACTTTAATTGCAGCTGTAATCGTGATAACAACAATCAATTACTTTTAATTGCGATAACAACTTTAATTGCAGCTGTAATCGTGATAACAACAATCAATTACTTTTAATTGCGATAACAACTTTAATTGCAGCTGTAATCGTGATAACAACAATCAATTACTTTTAATTGCGATAACAACTTTAATTGCAGCTGTAATCGTGATAACAACAATCAATTACTTTTAATTGCGATAACAACTTTAATTGCAGCTGTAATCGTGATAACAACAATCAATTACTTTTAATTGCGATAACAACTTTAATTGCAGCTGTAATCGTGATAACAACAATCAATTACTTTTAATTGCGATAACAACTTTAATTGCAGCTGTAATCGTGATAACAACAATCAATTACTTTTAATTGCGATAACAACTTTAATTGCAGCTGTAATCGTGATAACAACAATCAATTACTTTTAATTGCGATAACAACTTTAATTGCAGCTGTAATCGTGATAACAACAATCAATTACTTTTAATTGCGATAACAACTTTAATTGNCTTATAGGACAGAATTTGTGAGTTTATACGAAGCTCTCTCCATGTCACCACAAAGGGCAAGTCAGCCATGGTACATAGGATGGTAGGCTTCATTTATTTACGTTCTTATTTTCTTTCTTTTTACATAAATTTCTAAATAAAGTAGAAAATAAAGTTCTAAATAAAGTTGAAAAGTAACATTCAGTCATGGAAAAATTATTCGACGCACTATAAGATTCCATGTAAAATATTAGTTATCAGGGGATACAATACAGCTTGCTTGTTTTTACGTGACTGAAACCGGTTTGTACTTCTTTACGTTTGTGTAATCAATTGATTAAATGAGACGATATATAATGCAAATTCGACAATTGGATAAATTAGACAATATATATTATTTAAATATAGAATATTTATTATATCAGGTAATACTATATTATATAATGATCAGGTGATACTATGCAAATGAATATTAGACGCACTATAGTGTTTTTATTATATGTGTATGCACTATAGTGTTTAGTGTTATTACATGTTTTGCACGAATTTATATATAAACATGCATGTAATGGGTTTTTATTCAGGATATTTTTTATATACTTCCTATTTGTATTTATTTTTTACGTATTGCATTACAATGTTTACCCATTGGAACGTAAACAAGTGCAAACTGGTTTCAGTTGCGTAAAAACAATAAAACTGTATAGTATCACGTGATAATTAAGATTTTACATAGAATCTTATAGTGCGAATCTTATCCTTAGATAAAGGTATTATATTGAAAATTATGCTACACTGAAATTTCATAATTGGGTATAATATGAAAAAAAACACAACTACTTCGATTTAGTAGGAACAACATATGACGCAATGCTAAACGAATGGAATTTAGTTGTTGTTTATTTAGTTATTGTTATTAGTAGTTGTTGTTATTTGTTTTAGTTGTTGTTGTTTATTTAGTTGTATTTAGTTTCAATAACTTTTCTTTATAATGCAATAAAATCTGGCGAGCAGCTATTTAAACGATCGAACACTTCGTTTGTTTATTTGTGGCTTGAAGTTAAGCTCGCAGAAAATGCCGTTCATGGGTTAAATTTAGTAGGAACAACACAACCTGTGACGTAGGCTATAGTATACCCAATTCAATAGAAAATTAAAATGATGACTTGGAAACAATGTTCTCGCTGTTGCTTAACCCTTTACTCACGGTATACCATGTTGTACCATCACGTGTGGTTCATATTTTGTACTAGCCGTAAGCAAAAGATTAAGTCAGAATTACCCCGTATTGCCTTTTTTGCATCCCACATTTGAACTATTAAAAATGTATGCTCATAGCATTTCAGGTTTGGGTTTATATCATTTTGCTTGTCTATAAGGAGACAAGATTAAGAAGATATTTCTTCCTTTTTTTCTCTCTTTTTTTATTTCTTGTTTCAAACAAATAATTATTTATTTATTGTTTTTAGAATTGCTTACAGAGCAATAACAAATTATTGTAGATTAGTCGCAGACAACAAAATTCCATAATTCTTGGAAGTTAAAGGGGGAAAAAAATTATATTAAACGGATTATTTCGAAGATTTAAAAAAAACCACCACTTATATACTCAACCGTGAGATCGTAATCCGTACTATATGAAATCTTAATAATCACGGGTCAATCGTAATAGTTGGCACCTCTGATCTCTAGGTTGCACAACCGTTGGTACCTCTGATCTCTAGGTTGCAACCGTTCTTCTGATGTAAGTATTGGTCAAGTCAATTCCAATTTCCAGGGCCGGGATAGCCTGGTCGGTAGGGCGCTGGGCCCATATCCAAGAGGTCGTGGGTTCGATCCTCGCCGGCCGAAGACTCCCCGTGTAGTAAATGGTGACTGATGCACGTTAAATCTGTCGAGTCTCAAAGTCCTCCATGTTCCCACAACAAATCAATACCTCTGGGGGTACTGATCCAGGAGTTTCCTTGTCTTCTGGATTGGTTCAAAATTACAAGGCTACGGAGTTGAACATTAGTAGTCGTAAACCCATGAAATTGGGTCGGCTGTTCAACGACGGTTATAAAATAAAATAAAATTCCAATTTCCAGATTAAGGCCAACCCTCCTATTTACAGGTTCAATTATTCAAACTTTGTTGAAAAGGCAGATATTTGGCAAAATAATTTTGATTAAAAACTTAAAAACCAAAAAATGAATGAGTATACCTCGAACCATTAAGATCGCAAGACTCCTCCACGCAGACGGATAATGGGTTAGATTCCTCTTGCCGTCAGTTTAACCGTAAGTGGTTTTCGTCTCCATGTAACTCAAATGAGCTTTAGTGCCATCAAAAAAGTCCTCCACGCAGGCAAAATTTTCCAATATTTGATCCAGGAGTTACCTTGTCTTCTGAGTTCGGTCTAAAAGGACAAGACTACGGAGTTAAACATTGGTAGTCGTAAACCCGAAATCGGGTCGGCTGTTCAACGGTGGCTATAAATAAAAATAAAATAGTCACGCATTTGAAAACCATAACGAAAACCATGAACAAAATAATAAGAAAAAGTTAGAAATAAAGATCCCTTTTTCTACTGTCTATCTGTAGTTCATAGTCAGGTTTATTTTCTACATCATCTCAGGTAATTTTACAATTTATTAATTAACACTATAAATTAATTTTTATTTTATTAATTAACCCCTAAACTTAACAATTATCTTGGGTTGAGTCTACTCGGCCCTAATTATCTCGAACTTTTCAGTTAAAGAGTTCTTATTTTTATTTTGTTCTTTATTTTCATATTAATAATTTTTATATTATTAATTAATGAAACAAAAATTACTTCTGTGTCAAACAATTAATGTTTTCAACATAAAAAAAAAACGCTTATACAAATTTTTCTCCTCATTTCTCCAGGGATTTGGCGACATTTAGAAATTCTATTCCTTCCTTTACATATTATTCTTCAGGATAATCCGTGTCTTATCAGTTGGCGACCATCCCCTGTTTGCTCTTACACGGCTCTTTGTTATACGTCCGGTTGTGTACATTATCTTCTGAAACGGCCTGTTTTTAATCGTTCTCACATATCAGCCCATTTCAAAATGTTGTTTATTCGAAACAAAAATATTGACACTCAGAAGTCATTTAGGGAACATCATTTTCACCCAATAATATTGAATCTTAATCGTTTTTGTGTATTCAATTATTCTGCACTTCATATGTTTCCGTTAAAATGTGAAATCCGTTATTTCATAGCATAACTAGGCATTTCATGAAATAACTAGTACAAGTCAGTTAAAGTATATAAAATTATTGAGTTCTGGGATTTAATTAGATATTCTATAGAATAACGATTACTTGATCGTTAAAGTATGAAATACGGCACTCGAAAATTCCTTTGCAATAAATCGTATGCTTCATTCCGTTGCTCTTGACATGGAATTTAGGCGGAGTATGTATGTTAGCGTTTTATATTTTGGATTATAAACAAATATTTTTGTGAAGAAAATAAATAAATTTAAACAGGGTGCGTAGCTAGATTTTTCAGCAAAAAATAAGCTCCTTTAAAGTACTTTTTAAGCCCTCAAAAAATATTTTTAATCACTTTTCAAAAAAGAAAAATCATAATTAGGATCTGTGTAGTAATTAAAAAAAAATTTTCTCCATCGTTTAAAGTTCTTAATTTATAAACATAAAATCAATAAAATTCAAAAGCATTTTCAAAAACTTTACGTTATCAGGATAAAATAACTAGTTTCTGATAAATATTGCAGTAAAAATCATGCATCTTTTGTAATTTAAAACGACAATCGACTAGGCTGAGAAAAAATTTCTTATTAAAAGATGGAAAATTAAGCATTTTTTATAAACTCCGAATAAAAAAAAACCCTTTAAAGGCTTTTAAAAAAAGTAACTCAAAAATAAGCACCTTTAAGCATTTTTTAAAAACGCTACGCACCCTGTTTGAATAATACACAACCAATAATAAACCACAATAATTAATAAAACTATTTAAAAAATAAATAAAACACAACCCAGATATCAAAATACAGGTATAAAATCTTATTTTAAAAGACTTTTTTAATGAAAATTATCAGGATTAACATTACGCGCAAATGAAAACCACGAAAACGTTTTAATAACAGCCTAGTTGAACGATAACAGACAATAATGGGATTTCTACTTTTCAGTGATTCTTTTTATTTTCCAATTTTTTTGTACTTTATATGAAATGTAGTGCTTTGGGCAGCTTAGTTTTTCTTATGAAAATGTTCTTTATTTAATTTTAAGTTTTTTTGTAAGTACTTAAATTGTGTGTGTGTGTCTTTTTTTATTATTTTTTATTTAAAACATTTGAATTTCAGAATGATATAAAGTATCAATTTTTAAGAACATATCAGTAACATGTTAGAAGTAGTTTTAAATTAAAAATTATAAATCTTTAAAAAATTTGGGAAAAAAATGTGTTTAATATGCGTGTAAATTTGCGAATTTTGGATTTTTCTGGCACAGAGACAAAGGGGGAACGTTTTTAATGATTAAAATTTATAAGAATCAAATAAAAGAGAACAAATTAAATGCAGCAGCTATGAAGAAGCAATTATATTCAATGAAGTTTTGTTTAGACAAATTGATCACTAAAGGGCTTAGTACAAACTTTGTGACTAGACCAGTGATGTCAAGTTCACCGTGCGACCCGTTTGGTACAGTAATAGATCTTTGTATCCATGATGTGTACGTTTCATTTTCTTCCTTTTAGACGTAAATGTAGTTATTAATATGATCAATAATAAATTATGTCATCTGTTTTTCCTAATTATTTACCAATTAATCATCCGCAATCGGAATAAAATGTATTTTTCGAGAGATTTTAGCTATTAATGATCAATTAATTTATAAAATAACTTTGAAATCGTTTATTTTTCACTTTAGCAGTCTATTATTAGTTATTTCATAGAATGACTAGTTATTTTGTAGAATATTTAGGTCAAGTAAGAAATTTTTCTTCTATTATATACATTTACTGACTTGTCTACTTATTTCCTGAAATACAACGTTACTCTATGAAATAACTGAATTATACACTTTAACGGTAACATATATTTAAACTAAATCCATATTCTAATTTAATTTAAATTTTAAAAACATATTTTAAATTGAATACGAAAGATAGAAGGCGTATCACTTCCATAAACTTCTATCACCTTCTAACTTAGTTCGTTTAAGTCAGGCGGAAAAAAATTATTTTCTCCCTTTGAGTCTACGAAAAAAGTTCAGTTTTCAAATTATATTCTTCTTCTTTTCATTTATTTTCTTATCTTTCTCTCTCTTAATTTTAAGATAATGCATTGATTAAAAAAAAATTTTTTTAATTATTTTACTACTTTTGTAAAATTTGATTTTTGTTCGTTTTATTACGACTCAAAATCACTTAATTATATGACTAATTGTTTTAATAATTTACAAAATTAAAAACAGAATGAAAATCTGTTTCAGGAGTAACTGTGACAGTGATGTGGGGAATGTATTGAGGAAGCACTACCATAAACCCTATTTCCTTCCCCTTCAATCAGAGAGCACAAATATCGATTGGATATTTATGGGAACACCAGGATATGGAGCACACATGCACGTGAGTCTCTCTCTAGATCAGTGTTCCTTAACCTTTCCGATATAATGGACCCCTTTTAAAAAATTTTAAGAAGTCACGGACCACCAGGGGTTCATGAACCACAGGTTAAGAAACCCTGCTCTAGATTATCAGTTAATAAAACGCAGTCTACCTATATTATTCATTTCCATTGTTACGATTTTAATTTTCATTATTAGAGAGATTACGCACATTTATGTTAGCTTCCATACGTAAGGGCTTCGAGTAATTGAGCATGCGACAGTTCTTGAGAAATCCGCATGCACCCGTTAAAAAATATCTAACTTACGGAAATGAAACAAAAGACTTTGGAAAAATCCGTAAATTAAAAATGCTAGCGTAGTGGAACATCATTTAAACTTTGATCAATCAAAATCAAAACAAACATTTATAACGGAAGTAGACTATTTCTTTAAAACTGTGGCAAACGATTTAAGATGCTTTGCTCGACGTAAAACAACGGATCTGTGAGCAGAAAAATTGAGTAGATTATAGATTTTGATGAATTCAGCGATAAAGAATGTAGCCTATTACTATTATTATTAATGTTTAAAAAAATATTATCGAACTTCTATTGATTATTTAATTTTTTTAACTAAATTATAGTTAAAAGAAATATAATTTATAATTGTGAAATAGCAAAAATGTATCTAATTTCTTATGGAACTAGCGCAATTAGACAATCATAATATATTAAACAAAAACCATTAAAATTATTTTTTTATTGAATAAACCCAGGATCACGGGATTCACATTTCTAAGCGCCATCAATACATTTCTTCAAATTCGCATTACATGTCTATGTTTTTAGTTCGAAACGGAAAAATACGTTTTACTGCTATAAACTGTCCGCTTGCAGCTTTGCCTTTGATGCCAGTGGCAGTAACCATATCCGTAAACCATATCCTCCCTCTGGCAGTAATATTAGATTTTTTTCTTCTTTTTTTACCTGAAGTAGGCTGCATGCATCGTTCTTACTTGAAAGAGATTAGAAAAAACACATGGCAATGTAGGGAATTCCAGAAAACGATTCTTCGCATTATGAAACATTATTGTATGAAACACCATACAATGGCCCTTAACTTAAAAATATCATCCGTGTTGGGAATAACGGACAAGTGTATACCAGAAAATAGCTCCATGCTTTACCGGAGAAATGTAGACCGTCTGCGGGTCCATTCGATTATTATTAATATCCGATGATTATGAACAAAAACCAACTTCAGCTGTTAAAAGTAGCATAGAGAAAGCATTGTCATCTCATTGCCCGGTATTCTCTACACTGATATATTTTTTTTTAAAAGTTTAGTTGCATAGCTCTGATAATTTTCCTGTACCTAGAATTATCCAATCTACGCAAATTACATCATTTGAAGATGAAATTTGAAATCACTCCTACCAAAAAAGCAACGCATTCCATTTTTAGTGATCAATTTTGGGTCAGTTGATTCTAATCCCTCTTTGCTCCTTTCCAGCTTAAACCATTTGAGAAGTTGGAAAACGATTTATCTCAATAAAACATGAATATGCGACACTTAAGGTGCATAGTTTTTTACTTTATTGTTTCATATGAATTCTAAACATAAATGCTAAGGGCGGTCATTACGATACACCCTTTACAAATCAGCCATACTTAACAACAAAATAATGCTATCTGTCTCAAATTTTATCAAGCATAAAAAGAGAAAAGAACGCTTGATATGTGTATACAATTTATAATTTAAATTTTGTAAATATCGTAGTTCACTATATTATGAATTACATAATTCATAATAGTATAATAATAATGTACACTATATTCAAATTGCGTTTTTTATGAATATAAAAATATCTTATCGTCGTCTTTTTGTTGTTGTCCTAAGCATAATAATATTTATTTTAACAGATCGATCACGTGGACAATCCCTCGTGGCAGGCACAAATCCAGGGAAGTAAACTTTGGACACTGGAACCTGTTCCTGAATGTTATACTGAATGCAGAACAATTGAAGTCCTTGTGAATGCCGGTGAAGTTAGTAAGTATTCCTACACAGAAAAATCACCCCCTTTCTTTTATCCGATAGTTTAAACGAACAATTTAGCCCGCCGAAAACTCTCCGTTGTAGTAAATGCAGACTGGTGCACGTTAAATCTGTCGGGTCACAAAATTCCCCATGTTCCCATAACGAATCATTACCTCTATGGGATATTGAATTGGAGATTGATCATTCTCTTATTCTGGTCAAAATTACGATCTGTAGACGAATGAATGGGCTCGCCCTATAAACGGGTGTATGTGTATGGCAGAAGTCGAATTCTTGGCCATAGATAGCGCCACTGGAAAAAAAGAAACAATCGCACCTCTTCTGCCATAACGGCAGACGACAACAACAACAAACGAATAATTTAACTTCGACCACCTACGAAAAAAAATTTTGACATTATCATCCAGTCTAAGAAACTATCCACCTTTTGCTTTTAATTATAATTTTTCTAGTAATTTTATGTTAAATTATTTTGGGAATTGAAGAAAAATAATTATTTAACTTATTATCTAAAATTAATTTCATTATTCATACTTCTTTTTTTTTTTTTTTTTTTTTNTTTTTTTTTTTTTTTTTTTTTTTTGGTTGACAGGTAGGTGAGTTTTTCAAAATTTTACCCTACTGTTGAGAATTGGCCGTAAACTTGCACTTAAATAACAGCGCTTATAGATTCTGTGTTTATAACTAAACTCGATAAAAAAATTTTTTTATCAAAATAACGAATGCATCAGAGGAAATAGCTTTCCAGTGTTCTCTTGACCCCACGCAAACCTTTATGGCTCACATTTATATTATTTTTTATCGATAATCACAGAAGTTATTACCAAATACCCACAAATTATGGAAAGATTGATTTTCATCAACATACTTATCATGGCCTGATAAAGGGTTGACGAGTTATTTGATGCCAAAATTTTGAGCTAAAAAATTTTGTCATATTTCAAACGACTATTTTCCACACATAAAAAGCTTATCCTAACCCCCCTGAGTTCAAATTTTCGTTCCTCGTCTTCTTAGCAATAGTTTGAACATTTTTTCCTTGTCTAAAAAAATATTCGTGGCTATATTTTTTTTTATTGTGGAGCAAAATATTTTTTTTATTGTCGATACAAAAATATTTTATATTCCTTAGATTCTTCAGAATTTTTTTTTTTTGGAATATTAACCTCTTGAGACCTAATATACTAGATAACGTTTGATTGGAAATATTATCACTTACAAAAATAATATTTTAAGATTTTTTTTTTTTCATTTTATTAATCTTTACGAATCGATTGTAAAAACATAATTGGATTTACCCTAGTAGTTCGGAGTCTTCAATGGCAATGAAAAATTTTAAGAAAAGTAAGAAATTCGACTGAAATTTCTTTTTTTATTGACATATCATTATGTAAGTCTAGTGAATTTTGTTTCACGATCAAAATGTGAATGAAAAAAAAAATCTAATACAATATTTGTTTAATAAGTAAAAAAAAAAGATTTTTTTTTTTTTTGCTCCATAAATGAGTTCTCTATAGCAACATATTTCTAAGTAAAAATCATATTTTATGGAATTGCTCAGGTTGTCATCCCCTTCTAAAATAGAAAGCAACCCGAAATTCAATAAAACTGTTTAATCCTTTTTATTTTAGCTAATTACTATTTAAAAGCAAGTTTGTTGTTGGTTTTTTTCTAGGCGTCAGGCAGGTTGGATATTTAAATTTTTTTTGTTTTTGCTAACATTTTCTGGGCTTCATGTAATTTTTGTTAACATTTTCTGGGTTTTATGTACTTCTCTTTATAGGAAGTTCACTATTGCTAGTACCTTTGCAGTTCACTATTGCTACAAGTAACTTTTGACGGCAAAAGTTTAAGAAAATAGGCTTTTTTACAAAGATTTTTGAATGTTTATTGATGCAAAGATCCACTGAAAATATTTATGCCTTAATAGTTTATTAGGAAGTAGAAAAACATAACGGTCAATGCCGTAATTCACTCGTTTTACGAAAACATGTAAATCGATGCGTTTTTTCTCAAAATTTCAGAGGATTTTTAGCTATAACTCCCCAAAAACTTAGATTCTCAGAAGTAAAAAAACAGTACGTGGAGTCCCTCCGCGCGGACGAAGTGAAATTTCGTAATGTGGAAATGAAAATAGGAAGGGGTAGAAATTGATTTTTAGTGAAATCATATTGTTTCTTTAAGACAAACTTTATTAAAATTGCTTACAATTCACAATTGATCGCATCTTTTAATTATCATTTTCGAGTGGAGANATGGTTATTTGTAATAGAATGCATCGCTAAACCAATGCATTGGAGTGGGCTGGATGTAGAAAATTTATGTTTTGAACCAATAGATGGCGTTGCCTACTCTTTTCTTTTTGGTTATTCTAATGTTTATTTTTTGTTTTGTTGTTATTAAAGAACATGAATCCTAACCCCTCTGTCGCTTTTTTATACCTATGTTGGCCTCATCTTGATCACACGCAAACCTTTATTGCTCACATTTATGTAAACATGGCCTCCCTTCATTTTTTAAATCTATATTTACTAAAATTATTAGCATATACCCACAAATTATAGGTGGAAAAACTGATTTCGATAAACATGCTTATCCTAGCCTGAAAAAAGGTTAACGAGTACCTTGATGCTGAAATTTTGAGTTGAAAAATTTTATCATATTTCAAACGATTATTTTCCACTTGTAAAAAGCTTATCATCCCCACTCTTGAGTTCAAACTCTCGTTCCTCGTCTTCTCAGTAATAATTTGAAGAAAAAAAAATTTTTTTGTCTAAAAAAAATATTAGTGGCTATATTTTCTTTTAATTGTGGAGCTGCTTCATCGATACAAAAATATTTTATATTCCTTAGATTCTTTAGGAATTTTTTTTTTCTATTTCAATGAAATATTAACCTCTTGAAACCTAATATACTAGATAACATTTGAGTGGAAATATTATCACTTACAAAAATAACATTAAGATTTTTTTTCTCATTTTGTACACTTTTATGAAGTGATTGTAAAAATATAATTAGATTTACTCTAGTAGGTTGGGGTCTTCAATGGCAATGAAATATTTTCAGAAATGTAAGAAATACGACTCAAGTTTCTTGTTTTTTTTAAATCGGTATTACATTATATAAGTCTAGTGAATTTTATTTCACGACCAAAATACGAATGAGAAAAAAATCTAATACAATTTTTGTTTACTAAGTAAAAAATGCTTTAAAAAATATTTTGCTTCATAAATTATTTCTCCCAAACAACATATTTCTAAGTAAAAATCATACCTTATGCTATTGCTCAGGATGTCATCCCCTTCTAAAATAGAAAGCAACCCGAAATTCAACAAAACTGCTTAATCTTTTTTATTTTAGTTAATTACCATTTAAAAGCAAGCTTTTTTATTCCCTAGGTGTTAGGCAGGTTAGACATTTAACATTTTTTGATCTTGTTAACATTTTCTGGGCTTCATGTTAAAACTATTAGACACGTAATTTTTACTTATTTATTATTTATTTATCATTTCTTCTTTTGCGAAAAAATATTTTTTTCTCAAAATTTGGAGGGGGGGGTCAAAGCTGAAGTCCCTCTAGAATTTTAAGAAAAACACATAAATTTGCATGTGGCAATACTTTTTGTAAGGTGAAATTAATATTTGTGTACAGAAATACAGTTATGTACTTCTTTGAATACCTTTTATGCTCATAGTAAACTAAATAGTTCCCTATCGATTGCGAAAAAAATTACATTGGGATCAATATCTCACTCGCCTGGATAGCAGTTTTAAACGCTTAAATATGTACGTCAGAATTAGCACTCTTTCTATTTAAAACTTAATAACTTCTTAGTTATTAAATATATTGAGTTATTCTGTGTAATTTCATTTGATTCAGGTAAAAAAATTTCACCGGCAACATAATATCATTTGCCACAACGAGTAAGTTATACCTCTTTCTCTTCAATAAATTCTAGATAGAGCTCACCTCGGCGTTAAGTTCAGGGTACTTATCACATTTTGTAAAATAATTTACAGCTTTCTGATAGCTTTTTCTGTATTCAATTACTCGCGTCTCAGGGCCATATTATATTAAAGTTGAATTAGCAACCACAGATCTGGGAATTGATTTTGCCTTACTATTCTTCAAGCTTCTTTTTTCCAGCAAATTTCACATTTGTCTGGTTTTGGTGAATTTAGTTAAACACCTTGAAAAGTGCGCAAAATTTTAGTTTCTCGGTATTTTAAGGTGAAATTTAAGATCTCGCCAAATGTACAGTGCTCAAAATTTAAATAAAAACAGACCGCCTTGAATAACTTTTGCTCTAATGACCGGATCTTCACGTTCTAGAACACAATTTTAATGATTTCAGGGGATTACCAACAAATATGCAGACGATGCTTTAAATTACGAAATCAGACAGAAAAAATTTATTTCTCTGAATAAACATAAAATTTTTTCGGCGAATTCGGATATCTGCCCCCGAAATATAGGGGGCAGCCGAAATCTGGAAAATAGTTGCCCCGTAGTTTTGTCAGGAGAGCGGTCCGAAGTTTGGACCCCTTAAATGTTAATCTTATTTTTTGTGTATTTCGCCATATCTCTAGAACTGTTTGAGCTGATTGAAAAATGTTTGCACAAAACTATAAATTAGTTTATCTAAAGTTAATTCCATGCAAAATATAACTTTACGTAAATATTTAGCATTTTCATTATTTAATTTAATAATAGTAGGAAAATGTTTGAAGTTTTAGGTATATAGTTTTTTTCATCATTTTAAAGAAAGTAATTTTAAATACAAAATTTGAACGAAACGGGTCAAACAGTTATTGAGAAATCGAATTCTAAAAAAGCCATATTTTAAAAATACAATTTCTCAAGAACTATTCCACGAATATCGCTCAAACGTTCTATTTTGACAGGTAAAATGTCAAAATAATGTTCTTTAAAATGATGTAAAAAATTATACCTTACAATTCAAAATTTTTCGGCTATTATTAAATAAAAGAATGCAAAAATAAGAAAGATTTACTGAAAGCGATATTTAGCATGGAATTATCTTTATTATATACGAATTCTATAGTTATATGTAAAAAAAAAAAATTCAATTCGCTTAAAAAGTCCTAGATATAGCAAAATACGTAAAAATTAAAAATAGCATTAAAGGGTCCAAACTTTGGACCGCTATCCCAACCAAACTATTGGGATCATATTTCCCAGATTGAGGTTACTCTTTTTTTCTGGAAGTCAGAAATCTAAATCGGTGGAAAAAAAGGTATGCTTATTCAGAGAAAGTACATTTTTGTGTCTGATTACGTAACTTTAAATATCGTCTGCATTTATTAGCTAGCATATTTGAACTCACCCCCTTGAACTATCAAGATTGAGTTCTAGAACGTAAAACTCCGTTCATAAGATCAAAAGTTATTCATTGTGTCCGTTTTTTATTTTGCACACTGTACGTCCCGAAATATGTTGGCTTTTTTAGGGACTGCCCTTTATATACTTTTGCGGTTGATTGTTGGTGCAAGTAACTTTTGACGGTTAAAGTTTAAGAAAATAGTCTTTGTACAGAGATTTTTGAATGTTCCACTTGCATTGATCCACTGAAATGCAAAGAAAATATTTGTGCCTTAAAAGTAGAATTACATGATACAACGGTCAGCGCCGTGATTCACTCGTTTTACAAAAACATGTAAATCGATCTGTTTTTTCTCAAAATTCCAGAGAATTTTCAACTCCCTAAAATTCTCAAAAGTAAAAACGCTAATCGTTTTGCATAAAATCCTGAAAATTTCAACAAAATAAAAAATTTAAGACTAACTGAAATTCTCCCACATGCTGTCGACGAAATAAATATGAAAGCGCAATTTATTCGAATCCATTAATATTTCGGGGATATTTCGTATCGTGATCTGTCGCGCCAACTACAATCACCAAGGTGCCAAATAGATTTTAAACTTGCAGATTTTTCTTTAAAAAAACATGTAGATATTTGCCCTGGGGTGGCTACGAGTTGTACCTTCCGAGCTGGTCCCTTTCTGTGATGTTTTTTTTTTTTTTTCTTCTTAGTTTCTCGCTGGCCGCTGCCCGGAAGTTGTCGAAACTTGGCGATTATTCTGCCACAGATCAAGATACAAAAATCTCCCCAATATTTCCAGCTCTTTATTTTATTTATTAAAACCTAATTAAACATTGGAGGTTTTCCTTTCAGTTGTTCTGGACACGAACCGCTGGTACCACAAAACGCTAACAGTTGGCGAACATCTCAGCATTACAATTGGATCAGAATACGATTGAAAGCATTGTATCTCTATTTTGTGGACACATTTTGCACAACCATTTTGGATTCCTCTGTTTCTTTAGTTTTAATAAAGGAAATGATAAATCTTGTCAACTTTTTTTTATCATAGAACTGCATGCAGAACATGGTGACAAACTACCTCAAATGGAAAGCGATTGATTGAACACTTAAAGGTGAAGCTTTCATTTGACGTCGTCTGTTTAATGATGGGTGACTTCAGTAGATACTGTTAAAACCACTTTTGTTCTAAAACACGGCTACATCTTATAGACAATTAGTTCAATATTTCAACAACAACAACAAAAAAAAAAATTTAAAATTTTTAAGATAAATTTCATTTACTAAAATTTGTATAAATTACTATATGAGTTATTACCAGATTAAAAACCTTCGTTCACTTCAAAAATATATAAATAGCCAATGTTTCAAGCACTTCAAAAATAGGCACCCATCTTCAAGATTTTCAAGAAGAAACAAAAGTGGTTTGAAATAATAAACGTAAATTTGCCAACGAAAAATTAAAAATTAAATTGAGAAACAAAACTAGGAAAACCACAATAGCCGAGAGAAAGAAAAATGAAAAATAGAAAGAAAAAAAAGTACAGTAACAGAGTGATGCAAATCAGAGTAAAATGTATTTCCACCCACTATAGAGAGTAGCGAAGAACTAATGTCTTTATACAAGGGAATCAGCATTCATATGAATAAAACAAAATTCAATAGAGAAATGGTACTAATTATCATCTAGGATTAAAACAAAAGCTCGCTAAGCTATTTTTGACGCCAATGATGCTTAATTAACTTTAGAAAAATGTACTAAAACTGAAATAAAAAAAAACTATATATTAAATAGTAATAATGTAGAAATGATACTAATTCTTTCATTAGAAAAGTAAAAAGTCACCATGCTATTACAGAAGCCCACGATATTTAATTAATTTGGAAAATAGGTACTAATTAAAATAAAACTAAAAGCTATGTACTCTGAAAAGCAAAATTACTGGGGAAATGTTTCTAATTCGTTTAGGGAAAACATAAAAATGGGCCATGCTACTATTGACGCCAATGATGCTTAATAAATGTTTGTAATGGATGGGTGGTCTAATGTAAACAATAACAAACGTCCTTAAACCGGAAGAAATTTAGAAAATTTCCGGTGTATCCCTCATCTTATGTTATGACTACGAGGCGATGTGCAAACAAGCCTAATATTCTATGCAGTTTTGTTATTGCAATTTGGGTTCAAATCTAAACATAATTGTACCATTCATGAGAGCTTTCAGAAATGTATTGATTCTCAGAGGTCGTAAGGCCAAAAAAAATTTTGGAAAGTTAATATCTTATGTGAATAATTCTTAAGGTTTGCCATGTTTTGTATTTTATCCCTTATTTGGCTACATTTGAATAAAGTGTCGCCAAAAATCTCTTTAGAAATATCTTTTTAAGTTAGCCTAATTAGAAAATATTCTAATGATTATAATATTAATATGATAATGCTGAAGTTTAAAGGCTGAAAGAAAGAACTCGGTACATGTGAAATACTGCAAAAGATATGATGCAATAATATGATGGCGCGTTTTTTCAATCTGCGGCGCAAAAATATATCGGAAGCAGTAACCCGGAAGTCTTGAAGCAATTTTACCACTAGCGCCACCACCCTTAGCTTTACACGATCACCCATCCATAATGTATGGAACTTAATAATAATAACAAAAGTATGATATATGAAGTATGATAATAATATATGAAACATAATAATAATAACAGGATACTTAATAATCACAAAATATAAAAATAAAAGCACAAATGGAGTTAGAAACGTAAATAGAGGCATTTTGTTTTATGGAGCGTTCTTACTGCAGTATTGAAGCACGTTTGATTTGTTTGTTATCAAGGATTGCCCCTAAAATGGATGTGAGCAGGGTAATAATATTATAATGGATATTTTAAAGACGTTTATAATTAATAAAGTTGATATTTAACTATGCAATTTTAATAATTTATGAAAATCAGCATTTATTTAAAAAAGAGAGACATGATTTGCCCATTTTGCACAGAATTTTAGCCACAGATTTGCCCGAATCGGATTTGCACACGGTAAAAATGTAAATTAACAAAGAAGTTTTTAGTAAATTTATAAATAATAGCATACAATTCACTCAATGATTTTATATAGAATTTAATTACTTTAGTTGGGTATCCGTTGTTTTTTATCAAATTTTGAAAGAGTTTGTCGATTTGGTTTTTGGATAAATAAACATTACTAGATAGTAATTGTATTCATTTGATTAAAAATGGTATTTAAATAAATATTTTTAGACATTGTACAATTCTTGTCGCATATTCTGCTCTAGTGGTTATATCGTTTCTTCGGGTAACCTCAGGTCACTGGGGTGATACTCTGTGGCGAATAAAATCATCACCAAAAAGACATAAAAAATAATTCAACCCTAGAACAGAACAACAGAACGTCTTTTACAGTGTGGCTGCGTGCTCATAAACAAAAGTTAATAAAGTTTCGTTTTCATCCAAGAATGTGATGTTTTCTTTTTAAGAGAAAAATGCTTATTTGATTAAATCCTTGGACAATCTAACATGGATAATCAAATAATTGGAATCAAATAAAGGAGCTTATAAGCTGTCTATGTAGTAAGCACTCAAGCCAGCATGCGTAGGTGTAACAGTTAATAAATAAATAAACTTGAAACGTCAGCAAAATTCTCTATGTGACCATTCTCACTAAATACAAAAAATCGGGGATGGGAATGAGAACCTGGATGTCTAAACTTGCAGCCTACGAACGCGCAAAGCTACTATGGTGGAAGATTTTTCAGTGTGCCAATTTAAGTGGTGATGATGGAATCAGGGTGTTGAAGTTTGTATAGTATATGGGACTAGTTGAATATAGTGATGAAAACAGAAGAAGATGAAAATAACACTTGAAAATGAAAACCGGATCATATAAAGATTTTATTTAATATATTTGCAGAGCTCGAGGTACCAAATATAAATATTATCCATAAGAATTTCAGTTGAATCAATTTTGCATAATAATATTAATAAGAACAGGCCGTGGGAAACAAATCCCCCACGACCTGCCTAATCAAACGCCTAATTAAAAAGTATGTGCAATTTATTCCCATCGGATACAGAAGCATGGATAGGAGATCCAAAATTGGCGATTTATTAAATTATGAGTAAAATTATATAGTTTATAACCACTTTTTTCGACTACGGAATGGTACCGAGGACCATTCCGTAGTCGAAAAAAGTATCATCAGGCGATTAGCTTCTGAAATTGTAATTAGTTGTTGATTGTCACTAGTCTTTCCAAGAATTTGCAGGTTTTCGTGTTTATTGATAATTAATCCAAGCCCTTTAGGGGCTATCGTGCTTGTGACGAAGCAGATTCCAGGTCGATGAATGGTGAACCTGCAGACCTTAAGAACTTCCAATGGCAGGTACTTTCTGCTGATGATTTTACTATCATAAAACATCTTTGTAATATACCTGTTCATCTAATACCTTAAGCTATTTCGTGTACAAAACAAATAAATAATGAAATGCTCTTTATTATCATTTATCAGTGGACTCATTTTTCTGCTATATAATGAATGCAAGCTTTTAAGAAGAGTATGTATAGAACAGAACACTAAAACTGACGCTTTGCGCAGCAGTGCTTCTCGACTGTGGCGTAACTACCATTGCAAATATTGAATGCCAAATCACGTCCAGGTCACTATTGTAAGGAGAATTAATTACCGACTATGTCAACCTTCATCTATCAAAAGGTACCTCTCGATAGAATCAATATAAGATGTCTTATGTTAATAATAAACTCCCCCTCAATGGTGACCTGTGAACGTGATATGAAATTGCCAACATTGATGGATGGTCTACATTAAAAACAGTTGATTTGCTTTAAAATATACTGCTCGAAGAAATAAAAAAAAAACCGGTGACGTAAATAAAGTCTCCCGGTCAGTAAACAATATGGATAAAAAAAAAAAGAAATAATGAGCAAAATGCTATAAACTAAACAAAAAAAAATGAAGAAAAAAATACAATGGGCAAAAATGATATAAATAAATAAACAGCAGGTATCAACTAGTGGTATTCGTTCATCGAGCTCTATCACAGATAAAATTCCGGAAAGGGAGTAATGTGGCGTAACTACCACTATAAATATTGAATACCAATTCACTAGTATATAAGACATGTTAACTTGATTCGATCTTGAGGTATCTTTTGATAGATGAAGGTTAACATAGTCTAAAATTAAATCCCCTTCACGACTTAACAAGCAGTTTCAGTTGTGTCCTTTTTCTTAAAACACTAATTTTGATCTGAGTTTCTTTTCTTAAACAAGTATTTTGAGCTATGTCCAATTTCTAAAAACTTATTTTGAGCTTTCTCCAGAATAAAAATTTCATTGACAAGAAATATTATCCTTACTTTTTAAAATCCCATCGGTGATTACGTAAAAATCTTGAAAGAAGGTTTTCGCACAATACTTTCGCAGGAACTTAGAAAACATACCAAAACAAGTTTTCATGTTAGTTTATTTGCTTTCCCTAGAATAAATTTTCCAATTTAGATTAGTTTTTTTTTTATCATTTATTGTATTTGCCTTATTTTATTTCCTTGGAAAAACCTTGGACAAAGATTTCAGCTTTCTATTTCTGTATACCTTATCATGACAACCAACAAAAATACAAAAACAAGCTCTACCTCTTGATTATTTTTTAACCTAAGCAACAATATTATTTATAAAAAAAGCATTAAAAATTGTTTATTTATCTCTTTAGGATTAAAGATTTAATATTGCAATACTTACTATATTGAAAAAAGATTTTCAACTAATTAAACTTTTTCGGGACAGTAAAAACTAAATTGTGATATAATGTTGCAGTAGGCATGGATATATATCCCCTTATATTAGTCCCTGCAGTAAGGTTACATGCTTTCTGAGATAAAGGTAAAGGTATACCGGGGTAATGGCACTCACATACCTTCATTTAACCGATTAATAAAAAAATAAGCAACGGCTACCAATAATGGGCGATCGCAACGATACTCTATCTGGGGTGAAAACCGCTTCCATGCCTTTGGCTCTTACCTCACCCCTTCCCTCTCCTCCTCTTTTCAGTTGTATAGGAATGTACTACGATATTTGATCCTATCTTAATAATTTCCGTATTGACTTGGCAAAAATATTTTTTAAAATTTCCATGACGTTTCCTTTTAGAACTATGTTTAATGTAGTTTTCAGCTCCATGTAGTTTCCTAACTTAAAAGAGTTTAATCTATTTAAAAATCAAAACAGAAACTAAAGTACTTCATTCTTCTATGATTCTCGACATGTTAATGGTGAAATCAGTTGAAGTATTGCCATAGATAGAGAGTTTTGCTCTACGCCACCTGTAACCCATTTTGATCGCCAATTGCTTCATTCCTCACACCAATATTTTCCTAAATCTTTTACAAGGAAAAAGAACAAAAGTTAAAAAAAGAACAACCCCATAAAATTAAACAAAATTTTTACAAATTTTAATGAATAGGAAGCATTGAAAAATTTTAATTTTATTCTAGAAAAGGAAGAATTCTGAAAACAAATTTATGTTCTTTGGACTTGAGAGTTGAGCGGAGATAATGACGTGTATATTTAGGTAGGAAAGAGAACAACTAAGTAAAATTATTTATCGCCATTGGCACAGAAACATTCTACACTAATTTAGCAGAGGCAAACCAATTAAAATAATCCCAACTCTCTTGGCGATAAAATTGTCTTGTTGATCAGTAATTTCAAAAGACCATCTAAGTGTAGGGTTAGGAAAAGTCCGGCATTCTAGACAGTCCTCAATCGAATAAAATTCTTAAATAGAAAATCAGGTCAAAGCGGCTTAGCTAATCCACGTAATCAATTCTCTTGAAAACTGGATCTTCTAAACAAAAACTAAGCCAAAAAAATAAAAAATGCAGTGGATTATTAGTAGTTGAAGAAAAAAAGGCTTCTCTATCGATCGAAGAATTGTGCTAATTAGTGATGAACATTCTTAGAACATTAATACAGTATTTTTTCGTTAAAAATAAACGTATTTTTGGCTTTTAAATTTTTTTTGTAACATTAATATCTATACTCAAATAGCAGAATCTGATTAGGAGTATTAAGTGCAGCAAAATAATGGATTTGGTTGACAGTTTTAATCGGACTGGGACCGGCAAAAATTTAGGTGTGGGATCATTCAATGAACTTGATATATCACAAAATCGTATAGAATCAAACGGTTCAGTGAATAATTTCACTGCAACGAAATCCAAAGAATCAGTCGGAATTTCGGATGATACTTCTCCAAATAAAGAGTTAGGAAATTCTACTATGAAAACTACTCCATCTGGTGAGTTTGATTCAACTGCTGATCTTGAAAATATATACCCCTTTCTCAATCAACCTGTTGAAACTGTTCATACAGCTAATCGTACAGTATCAGCTAATCATACTGTGTCATCTAATACTTTAGATGACGAATCCAATGCCAAGACTCCCGATGCGAATAATATTTATGACATTTATTCACCAGATACCGATATCAGTCCTTCGAGCGACGCGACAGTCGTACCACCAGACATTGCATGCGGGGAAATACACGAATGTCAAGTGTGTCACAGGTGTTTTCCTCACAAAGAGAATCTTATTCTTCATTTTCAGACGCACACAAGAGAGAGGCCTTTCAGTTGCGAGGTGTGCGGGAAGTGCTACACTTCAATGCCGTCGCTCAGGTTGCACCGGCGTATTCATTCCAGCAACGTGCAATACAGGTGTGACGTGTGCGACAGAGTGTTCATTAGAAAAGACCATTTCAATTTACACTACAGAGTTCATACAGGCGAAAAGCCTTTCAAATGCGAACTCTGCGATAAAAGTTTTTGTCGAAAAGGCTCTCTCAAGGACCACTATCGTTTCCACAACAAACAGAACCTCTACGAATGCAGCGTTTGTAAAAAGGAGTTTGTGACGATCAGCACTCTTCAAGTTCACTTTCGAGTGCACTCTAACGAGAAACCGTTCAAGTGCGAGATTTGTGATCGGAGATTTGCTCAGCAGAAACATTTAGATACGCACGCCGTCACTCACTCTAAAGTAAAATCTTTTGAGTGTCAGATCTGCAAGAAGTGTTTCGCTCATAAGGCCGCTTTGCAAGCACATGCTCACATCCACACCAATCTTAGACCTTATGCCTGCCTAGTCTGTGATAAAAGATTTCCCATTAAAGCCACTCTAACGATGCATTACCGCATCCACACGAATGAGAAACCATTCTCGTGCGACATATGCTTCAAGAGTTTTTCGAGGAAAAGCCACTTGCAAGAGCACACGCGCAATCACACTAAGGTATCGCGTCACGTGTGTGAAATCTGTCAGAAAGACTTCTCGACATTGCGATATCTGAAGTTGCATCAACGCTTGCATAACGATGAAAAAAACTCTAAATGCGACATATGTCACAAAATTTTTCCGCAGAAGAGTCATCTTGAGTATCATTATCGCACCCACACGAAAGAAAAGCCGTTTGCCTGCAATGTGTGCGGAAGAAGTTTCAGTGCTAAGCACGTCATGAAACGCCATGTATTGCGTCACACGAGTGAGAAACCTAAGGTCCCTGTATCATATAATGCTAACAATAAGCCTCAGCCCTTTTCGTGCAATTTTTGTGACAGATATTTTACGGCTAAACACGCCATGAGACGGCATGTTTTATTAGTCCACATGAAAAATGAACCTTTTAAATGTCTCGAATGCTTTATTACATTTAAAACTGAAGAGGAGTTTAAAACACATGAAATTTCGCACTCTGCTAATAACACAACCGAACTCGAGCAAAAAATTGATGATAGTTTAATATACTCCACTGAGAATGTATAGCTTATAAAGTGAATGTTCTCTTATAGTATAAAACTATGTTTAGCTTTAAAAAAAAGCAGTAGCACAAGCAATTTAATATTTTCTAGAAATCAAAAAAATCTTTATCTGAAATGTTTTTTTTATTGTTTTAGTTTTAGACTATTCCCATAATTGCCTACAGTAATTAGAAAATTATCAATGTTGAAAAACTTATTGGAACTATTAACTAAGTTTTTTTCAGGCTATTATTTCGTGCTCAACTTATTTATGTTAACAAGTTGGAATTTAAACGGAATTAGTTTCTATTTAAGTAGATTTCTGACTTGATATGGTTAAAAATTGACATATTAATGAGAAATGCTTGCCTCTCTGAAAATGTATAGTTTTGTGAAACTTAGTTTGTCGCTTATTATACATATGAAAAATGAAAAAAGTTTCAGTTCAAGTAAAACTTTCTTTTTAATGTTTGCTTTGCAAAAGCTTCTGTAACATTATCTTAAAAATTCTTTAAGTATTCACTGTGTAACAGCTTTTGTCTATTTAATAGATTCGATCAAATTTGGAAACATGTCTCTCACTTTAAAATCTTTGTGTGAGCTTTTAATAAATATTTTAATGGCAATAGCTATGCTGTAAACAAGTGCGTCTTCGGACATTTTTTCAGTATGTGTGCAGATGTGGGGTCTTTGAGTCTGAACGTGGGGTCTTTTTCCAAACTGAATATTCTATTTTGTTTAAAATATATATGTTATAGCCTGCTACATTCTGAGTAATTTAACATTAAGTGTTAGACGATACTGAAACTTTCAAAGCGACAGCACAAGTTCTTAAACGCATTTACTAAAAATAGATAATGGCACAACTCTTTTCGAGACATCGTTCAGAGTCTGTCTTAGTTTATGTATAATTTATTTATTATGTATATATTTTATGTATCATTTTTTTACAAACATGACAAAAATGAAGTTTAAGTTCATGTTTTGTCATAACTAAGTAATGTTTTTTAATATCTTGATTGGCCCTCTTATCATTGTTAGATCCTTCATTGTTACAGCCGTATCAAAACAAGAACTTGAATTTATATGAAAGTAAATGTTGTAAATGACACTCATAGATTTAAATATATAAAATAATAATGTTCCACAACTCACATTCACTACTCAATCCTAATTTTTTGACTATGGAATCCTGAGATTATAATAAAGTTCATTAGCAATTCTGATCATATTAAATAAGAAACAATATTTATTATTTTGGAAATATTTAATGCGCAAAAAGAATTTAATCAATAATAGCTTTAAAATTAGATTTTATGTGAGATAGTGAATTTGTTTTTTGGTGAATGCATAAGCTGAAAATGAATAAAGCAGAAATAATGTTTTTGTTAAAATGAAAAAGAACTGTTATAAATGTGGTTATCAGGGGTAACATATTTCTTTATGGCTGAATTTAATTATTTTATTTGAAATCGTGAAGTTTTAAGAAAAAAAATACTCATGCAAATTTTGCTAGATGAATGTTCATCTTTAACAGAATATATTCAAATATACTGTAATTTCTAATTGTAATATGTAATATGACAAAATTTTTGTGCATACATTTATTGCTAAATTATCTGTAGATCTAAAAAAATAAATCCTTAGTATGGTATGTAGATATTTTTTCAGAGGGTGCAGTATATCACAATATTTTATTCTTTTAAAATTTGATATTATTCTCAAAAAAGTAATTTTTTTCCCCTTCTTTCTTATTCATTCAAAATAACATCAAAGGAAAAAAAAAGCTACAGATGATATAAAAATCTATTAACCTGTGACAATTTAAATTTTTTTTTTGAGTCTTTCATCATAATTGTTTTGTTATAATTTTTTTTTTTACAAATTTAGAAATAAAGGTATGGCTAAGTTTTTGTTATTTTTTCCTTATTGAAAATTAATAGTGGTTTTGAAGGCCACCTTTTAGTGAGTTATGTTACTTGTATTTCTCTTTTAAACTTCACTTGATAGGATATATTAAAGATGAAATTTGCTCATCAATTTTTCATCCACTCCCATTTCTGGTATATTAGAGTCTTGTATATTGCACAAGTTTATTATTTACCTGTGAGCTCTGTCAGGAAAAACTTAATACAGTTTTTCAGAATTGACCCACTTAAAAAAAAAACAAAGCTTGTTGTTTTCACCAAGTGGGTTTTTTCACATTTTATCATTTTTAATCGATTTTCTTTGCAATTATCAAATTTCCTTAAAATTATCACTTGTTTAATCAATTTCAGTTTGCAGATTTTATACAAAATTATATGAACTAAAACATCTTTCAGTTATCTGACTGTTGCAAACAAAATTTAATATAAATGTGCTAAATAGGTATACATAAAAAAAATAGATTAGGTGATAAAAAATAAATGAAAAAAACAAATATTTAATGCATTACTTATCTATAAAATAAATTATGCATATATATTATGCTCTTTACATAATTTCTTCGGATTGTAAACCCTTTAGAGTTTGTTTAAATACTTGAACAGATGTATAATATATGTAACTAAAATTTCAAAATGTATACTATTTTTAGACAAAGAATGTAAAAATAAATTTTTCAGTTAAAAAAAAAAATATCTGTTATAAGTGTTTTAAAGACTACAGATTTCTATATACTGCACCTTTTGCAAAAAAATATCTATGTTTAAAGATAAAGTTAAGAATATTGAATCCATAATTTGGCATAAAATCATAATTTAGAATATCAGTTTAACACTAAAACATGTCATCTAGTTACTGAATTATTCACTATTTTTCTTACGACAGCTGGACTAGATGGAATGTTTTCTAATTTTTGATTAGTTCAATTCAAACTGTGAAATCCTTTATGGATAGAAAATCAGAAATACTTTCTGTTATATGTAAATGTTTCAATTAAAAAAAATAATAAAAAATAGTCTTTCTGATATTTTAAATTTTTAGTTACAAATGAAATTGTCATGATATGATGCTTGAGATTAAGTTTATATTTAGCATTTTAACTAGTATCAAAAATGTATTATATTTAATATTTGTGAATCTTGTTTATGTTTGCTAGGTAAAAATTTTGTTAGTTACAAACAAAAGATTGTATAGTGATCATATAAGGAAATTATTTATTAATGGAATGTGAATGAATATTGTAGATATTTTTTGTCTTTGATATGTTCATTCTTTATACATATAATTATTACCTAATTAAATTTAATAAGCGTATCTGCATGTTCATTTAAGTCTTAAGTTATATACTTGGAATGCTTAGAAAACAAATGTTTAAAACGTATTAGCTTTTTTCATTAATTTCAAAAACAAGATGTTTAATAAAAATAAAAGTTTATATTTTTTTATGTATATTTTAAGACTTATAAAGAATACAGATAAAGAAAAAAGCAATAATGAAAACATACCATGTGCTACTAAGAAATGTGGGCATTTAATTTCATGAATGTATACAATGCTTCTAAAAATTTCATTCATTAACTAAAAAACAAATTATGTGTGTGCTTATAATTTCAAACTAATCTTATAACTTATTTTTTACATTTTAAAAACAATCATTTCAGTAACTCTTTTACACACTTCATTATACATTTAGAAGGTATAAAAATGACTGAAATAGTCATTCTCATAACCATTTCTTTATTAATCCTATTGATAGTAATCAAACAATATTTTTTTAGTATATACTATATTTGACTCTTATATTTAGTAGATGAAAGTATGCATGTAGATCATATTTTAAAAAGCACACTTTTCTCAGGGTGAAATTGTGTTTTTTCATGAAGAAAAAAAAAAAACACTTCTCCGCAGGCAATTTTTTTTTTTAAAGGAAACACCCACTTATACTGAGTTTTTTCTTGAAAATCCAGGTTTGGTCAAAACCTGCTACCTGGTGTAACATTGCTTTACTATTTTTTTTTAAACATTGAATGATATTCATCAAAAATCTAATATTTATCTACATTTTAGTCTCCACACTTAGAACTAGAGAAATGCAGTAGTACATCATAAAATAAACCCAGATTTTCAAGACCATGTGATCACAGATCACTAACATGCTCATCAGCAGCTTCTATTCTTCATGCAGTGTAATCTGTCTGAAACTCTTAATAGGTTATGGCTGAAGTCCTGTATTTAATAAAATGTTTTAAACAATAATTTCCAGATAACAATAATTTTGGTCGATATCTTGGTAAAATAAAACAATAATTTACCACTCTATTTATTTAACTCTAATAGCCTCAGGTTATGGCTGAAATCCTGTATTTAATTCAATTTTTTAAACAATAATTTTCAGATAACAATAATTTTGGTAGAAACCTTGGTAAAATATAGCAATAATTTTATCACGATTCCAAGTTTGGGAAACTGCATATATCTTGGGGGAAATGATAAGTCTCTGTTTCAAAAAAGGAATATAGAAAAAGGTGAGACCTCCATTCCTTGCTGAATGGTCAATGTGGACCAGAGGTGAGGGACATTGTTGCTTTTCTGTTCCAGTAGCTGAAACTGACTGTTTAATTTTTGGTGTGCTTTAAGTGTGCACAGTCCCTATAAAATAATTAATAGCCACATTTTGCTTTGATTTTTCTAGTTTATTTATTTTTATAGATTCAAAGCAATGAAGTGCATTTTATTTATTTATTTTTTTCTTTTCCATTGTAGATATTTTCAGAATTTTTGTATAGAATGTTAAACAATGTAGCAACATTTTCAATAGGTAGTGGAATGTATGTATTTCCTTAAATGAATAAAATGAAAAATTTGAATGTATCTTGTCCTATTTTCAAATTTACATCTATCAATATGTATGTTTGTTTTTTTATGTAATCTTACCTTACTTGTATTAATTTAATTTCTGAATATTTATCTTTTTTTTTTTTTTTAAACAAATTTAAGGTGCCTGTCCAATGAGATGACAAACTTTAAAGAATGAAATACGATTTGCAACATCCAACACTGAGTCTTTCATGTAATCCAGGGGAGATTTGAGGGTTCAACTTGTCACCCGAAATGCTTCCTTTTATTGTAACAGAGAAAGAAATTTTTTCTTAAGAATTTTAAAAAGTAATAATTTATTTTTTTATTAAAAATTAGGATTTGTATTTTTAAATAGTAATTGAAGATCTACTTTAATAAAAATGATTTGTTTAATGAAAATTATTATTTGCTGTCCGTCCGTAAAATTATATTAGTTTTGAGAAAAAGTTTACAAAATGCTGTCTCTTTGTTTTTGTTTTAAATTTTATTTTATAACCGTCGTTGAACAGCCGACCCAATTTTTTGGGTTTATGACTACTAATGTTCAACTCCGTAGCTTTGTCATTTTGAACCCAATCCAGAAGACAAGGAAACTCCTGAAATTTGCCTTCATGGCGGACGTTTTGAGGGAACTAACCCACATTTACGTTACATGGAGAGGAAAACCTCTCATGGTTAACCTGATGGCAAGGGGACTCCTACTCATGATCCGTGTACCACTGAGGATATTTTATGTCAGCTCTATGGTCAGTGCCAGCCAGATGCGAAATTCGTATCAACCAGCTATTGCCAGGTTCACCTCATAGTCTGCTTGCTCGATCATTTCATAAACGGAGACATGTGCCTTTTTTTTAGAAGTTGACAGGGGAGGGGCGACTTTCCCCTTTCGCTGATTATCTCCATGATTTCTCCCTTTTGTTTTAAAATAGGGGGTATCTCCTGCTTTTTGGAGATAAGGGGGAGAGATTCTTGCTAGAGCTAGAATTCCGAATGACTAGAATTTTGCTTGTCGAGTTAATCTGTCAAGTATTTTACCAAGTAAAACGAAGTTCATCTAATTAATTTAGAAACCTGACATCATTATTGATACATTTGCAGCTAGATGGTTAAATTTTATTTTACAAAAATTTTTATTTTATAATTAATTTTATTTTATAACTAATTAATTTAATTCCTCATTAACCTCAATCCACGTTTTAAAAAAATTTTTTTAAATGAATTCTTTAGTTGATTAATCGTAAATTCATGTTCTGTTATAATTATAAAAATGTTTATTTTGACCTGTGTTGAATTTGAGGTTTTATGTGATTATAATTCAAACAATTATTTTTTTAAAAAATACTTTCATAAGTCACAAAACTTCGATTCCTTCTTCTTTTTTTTTTAGAATAAATTCTATTTGCATTAAACGCACGCATTTACTTAACATAATACCCATTTACTTATTGACAATTTGAAACTACGTACCTTATGCAAGCTGCTTTGTTGTACACCTTTTATTTCGTCTAGTTCAAGCATGCACACAACAAAAAAATAAATTATTTTTTGATCTAATGTTCAGTTTGCAATCATAATGGTTTGAAAGACATTCGAAATATGTTAATTAATTTGCACAGGCAATTAGTAAAATTAAACTCAGATCTTACTATCTCTAAATAAGCTTACTTTTTTGTTGTTTTTTGTCTCAATGAACCTTTTAAAGAAAAGTCGCAACCAGGAAATACTATGGTGACCATTGCGTTATGGACAAGTCTCGAAAATTTTGAGTCACAATGTTTCAAAATCTGATCATAAAGAGCCAGGGACCGATCAAAACAAATTCAGGCCCAAGGCCCACAAAATTTTCTAGGCCCCTAACAAAATATCTTGAAATTAAATTTCTGAAGAGTAGTCAGAACAATAAGAAGAATCTACTGCATGATTCAAGAGAAACATTCTAAAAAAATTTTGAAACCAGACAATTGAAGATTATTTTTCTTAGAT